TGCCCTACTGACATAAATGAACATTTGCACGATATTCTAATTTTTCGAGTTTCACCTGTATATGGCTTCTCTCCTATGTGTATCCTTTTATGGGAAGTGAGCTTACTGTTTTCGCTGAAGGCCTTCCCACACTCCATGCATTTATACTGGTTCTCCCCTGTGTGGATCCTTTGATGAATAGTAAGAGAACTGCTTTTACAGAAGCTCTTTCCACATTCCATGCACTTATACGGCTTCTCCCGTGTGGATCCTTTGGTGAACAGTAAGAGACCTGTTTTCACGGAAGCTCTTTCCACACTCCATGCATTTGTATGGCTTCTCTCCTGTGTGGATCCTTAATTGGGAAGTAAGCTTACTGTGTTGGCGAAAGCCCTTCCCACACTCCATGCATTTATATGGCTTCTCTCCTGTGTGGATTCTTTGATGAATAATAAGAGAACTATTAAAAATGAAGCTCTTTCCACACTCCATGCATTTATATGGCTTATCTCCTGTGTGGATCCTTCTATGAGATGTGAGGGAAGAGCTCTGAGTGAAACTTTTTCCACACTCTCTGCACTTATATGGCTTCCCTCCTGCGTGGATCCATTTATGGGAACTTAGGTTACTGTGTTGGCTGAAGCCCTTCCCACACTCCATGCATTTATATGGCTTCTCCCCTGTGTGGATCCTTTGATGTATAGTAAGATAGTCCTTTTCATGAAACCTCTTTCCACACTCCATGCATTTGTATGGCTTCTCCCCCATGTGGATCCTTTGATGAACAGTAAGAGAACTGTTTTCACGGAAGCTCTTTCCACATTCCATGCATTTGTACGGCTTCTCTCCTGTGAGGATCCTTTTATGAGATGTAAGGGGCCGATTTTCATGGGAAAGAGTGAAAATGCAATTGTAATTATTTCCATTGTCTCTGGATATATAATCTTCTTTTGTCTGGATTGGATAGTGTTCATTTATTTCTAATTTGTCTTTTAATAGGCCTACACTTTTCACAATACCTTTTTCCTTTATTTTTCCTTGTGGGGCAAGAAAGTCTTGAATCTCAGCATCAGTGGAAGATAAGCTTTCCTTATTCCCAGTATTTGACTGGTTTCTCTCATGCCTTTTTAGTTCCAGTTGAATTGCAGGCTTCTCCGTTCCACCTCCATGCCAGATCATTTGGAATGGTTCACTGGAATCTTTGTCCTCCTGTCCAAGATAACCTTCAACGGAAAAAAGAAATCAAAATGATACAAGGTTAGGGAAAAACATCAAACTGTAGGAAGTCATATGAATTTCCTTCTGAAATTTTGACCAATTGTAATACATTCCACATTTGCATGCTTACGATGGCATAGTATAGAAATGATAATTTCCCTATTCATAACCCATGAATGCTTCAAAAAAATCGAAAGGGACTTTTCGTTTATAATTATCCTTATATATTCAACTCTGACACAGAGTCAGCTTCAAGTTAAGCAAGAATCAGGGGAAACATCGAAGAAATTATTAGGGGAAAACCTAAGATTTATTGGAGGTGGATGAATTACGGCAGGGATCTGTGAGAACTAAATCGATTTTGAAACTCATCCTTTTCGTCCTACCCAAACTACCTCCCATTTCCTGTTCATTTTTTCTTGCCCAAATCTCATGGTTGAAAAAAATATCCTAGAGTTCTTCCATTAACCCTAAACAACATCTTTGCAATGGAAAAACAGGGACATTTCCCCCTTGATCTCAAGGCTCAGGATAGAAATGAAAAGGAAGAAAAGCCACTAAAA